TTTCTAAACTTTAAATAATTAATTCTTTTTAAATTAACCAATTTTGGTATTTTAAATCATATGATATAATTAAATATATAAGAAATAAAATTTGAATATTTAAAAATATTTAAATAAGTAATTAAAAAAAATAAGATATTATATTTTGTTAAAAGAGTATTTTTTGTCATATTAATACGAGAAAAGAAAAAGAAATAATTTCAAAACCTTTTTTATAATTGTAATTTAACATGTAATATTTTGTAATTAGTTAATTTAATTAATAATCATATTAAGTATAATTGATAATTACGATTAACAATAGGTATTAAATGAACATTACTATTGATTATCTATGATTACCTAAAAAGAAAAAATTAATTTAACTCTGATTAAATATTAATATGATGTCAGATTTATATATATAAAAAAACATTTATTTCACTTTGTATTAAAGGAAATAAAATAATTAATAAAATTTTATATTAGTAATAAAAAAAAAATTTAAATAACAAAGTTTTATCTTATTTTGTATTATAAGAAATAAAAATATAAAAAAAACAAAGTTTTATCTCACTTTGTATTAAAATAAATATAAATAAATAACAAAGTTTTATCTCACTTTGTAATAAGGAAAAAAATTTGAATAACAAAGTTTTATCTCACTTTGTAATAAAGAAAAAAATTTGAATAATAAAGTTTTATCTCACTTTATATTATAAGAAACAAAAATACAAAAATCAAAGCTTTATCTGACTTTATTTTAAATAAAATAAAAATAAATAACAAAGTTTTATCTCACTTTATAATAAAGAAAAAATTTTAAATTATATTATATTATAAGATATAAGAAATTACAATTTATCTTAAAATCCAATTCTAAAAAAAAAAAATAATTTCTAAAGAAATTCTTACAAAATTAATTTATTTTTTCTTAAAAAAAAAAAAAAATAATACAATTTAACTATCAAAAAATTACTATAAAAAAAAATTAAAAAATCAAAAAAAAAATCATCCTATACTCTTAAAAAGAAACTTTAAATCCAAATATTTCCTTAAAATCTGAAGAGAAAGTTAGATCCTAAAAAAAAAAAATTAAAATTAAAAAATTAAAAAAAACCTTTTATAATCCTTCTAAATTCAAATATTATCTTAGGATCTGAAAAGAAAGTTTGATTCTATAAAAAAAAAAATTAAAATTAAAAAAATTAAAAAAAATTATCCTAATCACCTTCTAAAATATAAACTCAAATATTATCTTAGGATTCAAAGAGAAAGTTCGATTCTAAAGAAATAAAAAAGAAATTTTATAATAAAAATCCAAATCCAAATGATCTAAGAAAAAGGTTGATTCTAAAAAAAAAAATTAATTAAAAAGCTCCTTCATATCAAAATAAAAAGTACTTTAGAATCCAGAAAAAAAAAGAAATCTAAAGAATAACTACAAGAAAGAAAAGAAAAAAAATAAATATTAAAAAATAAAGAAATGAAAAAATCCACTTACTCATCATCAATGATCACTTACCTTCAGAATTTTCTATAGAAACCTATGAAAAATAACGATTCTCTAAGAGAATTACTTATTTTGGTGAACTTACTATAGGAATTCACTAAAAATAACAATTCTCTAAGAGAATTCGTTATTTTAGCAAACCCATTATAGGAACCTACTAAAAATAACAATTCTCTAAGAGAATTCATTATTTTAGCGAACCTATTATAGAAACCGCTAAAGATAATGATTCTTTAAAAGAATTTATTATTTTGGCAGAACCACTATGAAAGACTACTAAAAATAATGATTTTTCAAGTGAATTAGTTATTTTAGCAGAACTACTATGAAAGACCGCTAAAGATAATAATTTTCTAAGAGAATTTATTATTTGGCAGACCCACTATAGGAGATTACTAAAGATAACGATTCTCTAAGAGAATTCGTTATTTTAGCAGACCCACTATGAAAAACCATTAAAAATAACAATTCTTTAAGAGAATTCGTTATTTTAGCAGAACTACTATGAGAGCCATCTAAAAATGATGATTCTCTAAGAGAATTCATTATTTTGGTAGACCCACTATGGGAACCTGTCAAAAATAATGATTTTCTAAGAGAATTCATTATTTTGGTAAACTCTCTATGAAACCCCGCTAAATATGATGATTCTCTTAAAAAAAATTATTATTTTAGCGAATTCTTTATAAAAACTCGTCAAATTTGATGATTTTCTAAAAGAATTCATTATTTTGGCAGACCCGCTATGGGAATAGGTTAAAAGTAAAGATGGTACAGCAATTGATTTCAAATTTATAAAATGTTGCAACATAAGCTAAAATTAGTTGCAATATACGTTGTAACATTATAAGTTGCAACATATATAGGTTAAAACTAATTGCAAAATAAGTTGCAACATTAAAAGTTACAACATATTAATTACAGTTTCCATCTTTAGTTAAAAGTAATGATTCTCTAAGAGAAAATCATTATTTTGGTGAATACTGTATGAGAACTTACCAAATTTGATGATTCTTTAAAAGAAATTATTATTTTAGTGTAACCATTATGGGAATACATCAAAATAATGATTCTCTAAAAGAATTCGTTATTTTGGTAGACTCACAATAAAAACCCATTAAAAATAATGATTCTCTAAGAAAAATCATTATTTTGGTAGACTCTCTATGAGAACCTGCTAAATATGACGATTTTCTATGAGAACTCGAGATTCTCTAAGAAAAATTGAGAATCCTCAATTTTTAATTTTTTTATAAATTAAGATTTTTTTTTTTGTTTTTTTATTTATACAATTTTTTAAAAATTAAATAAAAATCATGACAACTTCATTAATTGATATTAAAAAAACCAAATCTGATTTGAATTTTACAAAAGCAAAACGGATACCAGATTGTTTAATTTTTTTAACAGATTCTAAAAAAATGAAAATTATATCATCATGTAATTATGGTAATCTAAATAAACTTATCACTTTTAGTTTTACTTCTACTTCTATTTCCATTTCTATTTCAACCTCTTCTATTATAACATTTACTTTTCATTCTACTTTTAAAGTAAATAAAAAACATAAAAAGCAATTAAAAAGTATTATAATCTTATTAAAAATTAGATTTAGGTTTTGTAATTCATTTGAATGTTGATAAAAATATAGAAGGTTTACAAAAAAAATTCAAAATATATAAAAAAAACATTAGTAACTATTCTATAAATAATTATTTTAACAAAAAATAATTTTATTTCTCAACAGATAAATAATGAATTATATGTATTAAGTATAATTATAAAAGATTTTTTAATAAGGATGCTTTTTTTAAAGAAAAAAAAATCAATTATTTCAAAAAATCACTAAGAATTAAAATTATATTGCAAATAATTTTAAAAATATAATTATAGATTTAAATACAAAAAATATACGAAATACATATACAATATATGGAGGCTATATGATAATGTAAGGACATAATAAATATAATTTACCTACAACTGAAGAAAAATATTGTCATGTAGCCAAATTTATACAGAATTATATGCAAGAACATTTTATTAATTTTGAAAAAATAAATAAACAATATTTATATAATTATTTTCAAAATAATAAAGAATTTCATCAATAAGTAGAAATAGGAAAAATACATTTTCAGGAAATATTAAAATCACAAGATATATATGAATTTTATCTTTATTTAAAAGATGAATTATTTTCATCTATTATAGATTTAGAATTTATGATTAAAAATTTAATCAAAATTAATTTTTCTGTATTATATGATGATTTTAATATAAATTTACCGGGTATTGAAACTAATCTTTTATTTTTTAAAAGTTTTGCTATAAATTTTAGTATACCAGAAAATAATGATATTTTAAATATAAAAAGACAAGGTTCTACAGATTCACATACAGATAAAAATGATTGTAAATATGCCTTTTGTGTAATAATAGTTTTTGGAGATTTTGAAGGAGGAGAATAATCAAGTTAAGAAAAAAATTAATTTCTCAAAAGAACCCTTTCAAGACAATGAATAAAATCAAACCATTGTTGTCATCAACGGACTGAATTGAGATACTTTAAAAATCATTTTAGTAAAAAATAATAATTTAAATGCATATAAGGAAGGACATATATGCTATTATAATTCCATTTAATTAATTTCCCTAATTTGATCAAAGCATATAGTGATAAAATGAGAAAAGCAGATGATATTATTCTTACGTTTTTTTAGGAGTTTGAATGTGATATAAAACTGTGAAACATTTATAATAAATGATTAGCTGTTCATTATTACTAGTATCAAAGAAGGCTATAAAAATAAGTTTATGGAATAATAATGTTATATTATTCGTTAACCTGTTTAATAGGCGTTTGTTTAGGTATCTGTTGTATACAAATAGCCTATACAGGTTTTTTTTTATTTCATCAATTAAGCTGATTCTGTGTAACTCTAAGCCCGAACCCATTTAAGCGACCATTTCCGGAACTATTCTATAATTATTGGGAACTTTTTTAAAAAGAAAAAGCTCCCAACAATATTTTTTTGTCGAGTTTGTTTTGAACATAAGCAACTGCGGAATGTCCATTGTTTGGTGTGGCTAATAACATATGAATATCGTAGTACACAAACTTAATCAGGCTTCAAAAAGAATTCATTCCGATAATGGGGCGTATGCATTTCACCAACCACTATGTGGCGTCAAATCAACGGCCGTTCACTTCCATCATCCCGCATAACCGCCCAACTGGATTTAGAAATTTCATTATTCATGCTCTATACTTTACGTATTTTTTATTCACACTTTAGGAAATTTGTTTTATTAAAGTTGTCCACACGAATTTCGTGTGGGGTAAGAAGAGCGCTTTGGAATAATATGGAGGAAAATCTTCATCATTCGATATATAGGCATGGTAAATAATCGAGTGAATGATCGACCCCAAACAATGGATGAATAATGTACGAATTAGGACCTCGTTATTCATAAGCCATACCTTTTCATTCACACACATTGTTGAGTTAAATATTTGTTTTTAAAAAAAACATAAAAGTATAATGGAATGATTCTTAATGGATCTTCAAATAGGCAACAAGATGGAGGAGTTAAGAGGGTGATTTGTGTTTTTGGGGTGTTTTCTTGAGCGTTGCATTTTTTGCGTCATATTTAAAAAAAATTTCCTTATTATTCTATAGGTCCGGAGAAAACCTTATTCTGAATAAATGATGTAATTATCAGGCGAGTACACACGTGATATAAAGATGATTGCGTCTTGATTATCTGACCCGTGATAAACTCCAATGAAGATAAATATTAGCATATTTGGATTGATCATACGTTCGCAAGAAAGGCAACCTTAATCAATTATGACCTGTATGTACAAATTCGCGTCATAATTTTATCAGCATACAGACAATACGGCATGGTACTTTATGGGGTTATTGAAGGTTCGTCTGACGTATGTATATTCCTGGAGTGGAAAAAAAAAAAAAAAAAACTCCGCGGCGGTGTGCATAATAAATAAAGAAACGTAATATATGAAAAAATCAAGTGAATTTACGAAATAAAAATTTTTTTGGTTTTTTTGGTTTATTAGTCAAAAATTAAAAATAAGAAAAATCGCGAAATATAGATACTTTCTAAATGAAATGAATTACATTTAAGATTAGGAATACGAGTTGTATGTTAACCCAGTTCGACATAAATTAATATCGCCCGAATATCGTTTTATGATATTGAATCATATATATTTTTCTAAAATATTCTTTATTAGTTTTAACGGGTTATTATCATATACATAAATTAAATTCATAAATTACTTATTTCATTGATATAAAATGTTTCATAAAGTGATCATAAATTCTTAAAAAGAAAAATAATATCGTGATAACGGATGTTAAGATTTTAAACTTAAAAATATTTGTGCTTAATATAAATTAATCATAACAAAGATGTTTACATATACATATGTTGCCAATTGTTCTTTATATTCATATATTATCACTTAGTAGAATCAATTAATTCACAATAATATAAGAGCCTACTTGTATATATAGCTTGAGGATGGATCTCCTGTTGATAAAATTGATTTTGTTCTAAATCCATAACTTTTTTCTCTTCAGCAACATTAAATTGATTAGATAGTGCAGATGGATCCGGATCATCGCAAATGAGATTTACCCAATTTCCAAATAAATTATATAATTGGGATGAGGTTGGGCGTTTTAAAGGATCTGGATTCCAGCATTGTGCCATCAATTGAATGTAAGCATCTGGAGTTCCGTCGATAATTTCAGGGCGAACACCAGAACAAATTTCAGTAGCTAAACTAAGATCGTGTGGTCTATTACCCCATGGACGAATACCTGCAGAAAGCATCCACATGATCATTCCAAAGCTATAAATATCTGCAGCCTTTGTTGGTATGTTTCCTTTTAAGATTTCAGGATCCGCATAAGGAAGAACTCCATATATTTCATTTGATGTTTTCTCATTAACTGGACCATTTAATTCTACATCAGCAATATGTATATATTCAGAACCTGATTCATTTTCAATTAATACATTACCTCCATGAAGATTGCCATGAATCAATTCATTTTTATGAATGTACTTAATCAATCTAGATATTTCCCAAAGCATCTCAACAATTTCCTTCCAACGGAGCATTCCTTGTTTTTCATCAAGGTATGAATTTAGGTTTCCAATATCATTATCTTTCAGAACAAACATATAATTTGAAGTAAAATCTTTGGTTATTCCAAAAAATTCGGAAACACTTCCAAAATGCAAAACCCGGTGGTATTCATAAAGCTGCGTATAAATTTATTAATGCTATTTAACTTTAAAAAGTCAAAATTTAGACCAATCAAATAAAAAATAAATATTGATTTACTTGATTCAAATATTCTTTACTAATATTTTGTGGGTCGTTAAGTCTTTTAAGGGAAACTTTTATGGGACCATTACGCGTCCATTGCTCAGCTTCTTCATCCCAAATCCACCTTGGACCTTCCATCCAAACTGCTGAATAAATTGCACTAAAATTGCCGCCTTTGTTCGTACTTTCAACAAGGTCAAATTGTTCAAAATCAATATATTCCAAATAATCTACACTTTTATTTGCGTTTAATTGGGTGCTTATTATGAAATTTTTAATATAAATATTATCAATTGTCCAATTTTTAAAATTTGCTTTGAACGCATTGATTTCACAAACTTTACACCATTCAGCGACGCTTCGTTCACTTCCACAATCTAAACATTTTCTAAAAGTTGAATTGGATGTTCCAGAAATATTACTTTGTTGAAACGACATCAGTATTAGAGTTGACCTTTTTTATAAAATAATTCAAATAATCTTAATTTTATAAGGTAGCAAAAAAAAAAATATTTTGATCAGAATTAATAAATAAAATAATGATTGATCTAATTGCGCGAAATACTGTATAGACGTGTAGATATAAAATTCAGCCTTTAAATAACTTTTCAGATGTCAAAATTATATCTCTTTTATAAATAATAATTTATTTGGCAGATTTGTGCTATCCATAAACGTTTATATCATTATAGTCATAAGTCGATATTTTAACCATCTAATTTCCGCATTCATGAAACTTATTCGATCTTCAAACTTTTGTGCGCCCGATTTTTATTTTTATTTTATTTTTATTTTATTTTTTTTTATGATGCAGCATTTAAAATCAAAAAGTTCTAGTACTAAATACATGCAAACCCTTCTTAAGGTTTGTGTAAACTGTCGATCATTTTAAGGATAGTAAATTCCAATTCAATAACTTTGATCTTACCGTGTTACATGTGTAATTGAAAGGACCAACCACGTATCTACTCAATTATTAAGCCGGTAACGGCCTATTCCGTGAAATGGGAATTGCTAAAACTTTAATCTTTATAATCATTAATAAGTAAATATCAGAAAAACATCCAAAGTTTTATTTATCATGATATAAATTAGTTAATGTATTTCATTTTGCTGCATTTATCAAATAAGACGTTTAACATCAAAAATTATTTTGCGAATAAAATTTTACTTTACATGTCTAATAATTGCATATATGCTTACTATCATAAAAGTATGATATATACTAGAAAAACGGAAACCTTTTCTCTTTCTTTATGTGTCCGGAGCTTGTCATTACTTAAAAAATTGTATATTATAAATAAAGTTTTTTTTTTTAAAGCAAGAAAGCTTTTGTTCACTAAATGATCGACATTTTCGTCTGTCCGGCAAGCTTCGCTACGCTCCGGACAATCATTTAAAATTATTTTGGTAATTGTATTACATAATCCATTAAATTAAAAAAAAATCGTATGATTATTTTCATTCTCAAATTTCGTAAAACAAATTTAAAAATGCAAAAAAAAAAATAGTGTAACGGTATTTATTTACATTTTTAAATTCATGAAAATAATTAGAATCTGTTTATTTTAATTGTGTAATTGGAAAATTAATTGTGATACGAATTATAAATTAAGATTCCTTTCAATCTGAAACAAGCATTTATCTCGTGCTCATTCGTTAATACAAAGAATTATGTATCAGTATTGTTCTTTACATTATTGGCAATCCCATGATATCAAAACAATTACTTAATATTATGAAACTTTACATATTAATTATTGTCCGAAGCATATCGGAATTGTCCGCAATGATATTTCGTTTCAAATCTCTGTTGTGAGTTTAAATAAAGATAAAGTCATATTGCCTGAATCCTATAAATATGAAATTAACAGTAATTAAATTTCGCTACCCTGCATGTAAAATGTTTCCTTTGTATTACAAAATCACAATTCCAGTAGATAAAAATGATTTTTTGTTATAATGGATTCAATGAAAGAATGTAACACAAAACAGAACAGAAACAAAATAATTAAATAACAAAGAAAAGAAAATTATAAATCACAGGTTAAGCAAAAACCAAATAAAATCTCCTGTGCTGTTATTCTCTACATTACATACGAATTTATCCATATACAATTCAAAGTTCGATGTTTAATTTTTAAAAGATGCATTACAGAATATACACAAATCAAAGCTATTAAACAGACGAGTAATGATCAAAAAATAGTTACCACTCAATAAACATTCTTAAAAATTGCACTAAAAATACTAAAAATATATATTGAGACGAATCAATTAATAAGTCGATACTATAATTTATCTATATAATAATTTATTATAATAACTATTTTTACAAATATTAAATTATTTTAAAAATAATTTTTTGTTGAAAGGTCCAATAGCAAGCTCCCATACATGTATATAGAAATTATATTTTTTTTACTTTTAGATTAAATAGGCCTCATTTTCGGAACTTTCCGAGGAATTTTTTATGTTACTGCTACTACGTAATTTTTATTTTTATGTAAGAAATTTACAAAAAAAAAAAATTAAATTTTTCAGATGGTAATGCGTCATGTCCTTTGTATGGTGAATTAATAAATACGTATAAGCGCGAAATGAAGGGAATTAATGTGCCATATGCTTCTTTCGGATAATATTATAATTTTTTTTTTGGACATAATATTTTTATTAATAAGCGTTTAATGATGAAAAATAATTAAATGTTAAGACATTAATACCAAATAAAGCAATGAAGGCAAGTGTGTTTATTTATTAATAAACATGCAGGTTCGTCATACGTGTAACGCTTCGAATCCTGATCAAAAAAAAAAATTCTTTTACATGCAGAGCAAAAAATTTACTAAGAACCATGTGATCAAACCTCTCGTTGAAATACCACAGTATAAATTATAAATGATGATCCTTTTTTTTTCCAAGAAAAGGACAACACTTTATTGCAGGGTAGCACCGCGAATGTTTATTATCCATACAAATAACACCACTAACCATTTCAAATTATCAACAGAATAAGCGGATTTTCAAGGGTAGGACAATAAATTTAATTGCTTAAGTAAACAAAACTTCGAATTTAGGAATGGAATTATTTCTTTTGGGAACAAAAAGTTTTAACATTTATCTTATGCACATGCAACATTAAACGTAATTCTATTACTATATAAAAAAATTTAATGAATATTGGGCAAGAATTGCTGGAAATTATATGAATGTGATTTATGGAGCAGGTAATTTAAGCAAATTAATTAATTTATTTATTTAGTTCACCCTCAAAACACTTGTATCAGGTCCTGCAATTAGGGCAAAAAAAAAAAATCTAAAAATAAATTACTTACATTTAATTATTCTTTATACACAAAAATAAAATACTCGCCATTTGGTGATATATATATCTATTGAAAATCATATATACTCTATCAAAATCATTAGCAGGTTATTATTGGCAAATAAATATTCCTTTTTTTTAAAACTGCATTTTAATAAATTAAAAATATTTAAGTGTTTGAAACATGCCTGGAAAATGTGCAACGCAGCTTGGTGCGGTAAACGTATTTTGTTTATTGTACGACTCAGAGCAATCTGCAAAAAAATTTTTTGATGATTACTTCTTTTGTGCCAAAGTTTGTAGAGACTTAAAAAATTTAATATGCCATTTCGCTTGATGATAAGTTCGCATCTTTTTATCATAGATGGAACTAAAATATTTAATTTATATTAATTCTTCAATCATCAACGTCGAAGGGTGCATCAGTTTTTTTTGGAGTTTCTTTTGGAGTATCTTTTTCTTTGCCTTTTATTGACGACGTTGGGTCGACTTCCATCGTCACGACTGGAACAACCGTCTCAGAAGTGCTTTGAACAGGTGGAATATCGAGTGTTTTATTGGTGTTTTGTTTTTTGTTAGTTTGAAGAAGCGAAGAAGAGCGTCCTCTTTGTTTGGTTTTTTGCTCTCTCTTATTTTGCGGCATGTTGGAGGAGAGATCTTTTAATAGTATTGCCTGTTATATAGGTTAATTGATTCATATATTATATATTATAAGTACAATATCTAATTGGTTAAAAATGTTTACTCTGACGAACCGATTTTAATAGCAAAGCTCTATCGGGATTCAGTATTTCGGATTTTCCTGTCGAATTTGTAGCTTGTCGAGATTCTTTGTTTCGAAATTTTATAAGGATATGGCATGAACTAGTTTCATAAACTCCGTGTAGAATTGGAAATTTTCTAAAAAAGTCACTATATATAAAATATTTTATGACTATTTTGAGTCGATTTATTTTGTGAAACGATTTTTAAGACTAGGAAGATATATTTTAAACCTTATATTATCATTGATTTTCAATAGAATTGAACTTTTGAATAAATGCTTCAATAAATACAATCTCATCTTTCAATTTAAATAAAATATTATCTATCAATTAATTAAGGGATAACATTTGTTTCGCATTTCATTTCAAATCAATTGACTTAAAGAATATCCAAAAAAGAGTTAATTATGAATTTGGATCCGAACGCATATAGGGATTCCGGAATTTATAATTTCTATTGAAAGGGACTATTAAGCTTATATTCTTATTTAGAATTTTCTTAATTTTTATTTTTAACAAATGAGCCCTAAAAAAGTTCAATAGTAAAAATCCATCATTCAAAAGATAAATATTAATAAAATGTGATTCAACTATTATACGAAATATTATTGAACCAGCATGATGATCTGTTGTTAAATGACTTCTATTGAAGATTTTTGTGAAACTCCAAAATTGATTAAATTTCTTTGTTCAATTCGATCAACCAATAGAATTACTCTTGTTACAAAGGTTTTGGAAAGAAAAAAAATTCAAGTTTATTAATATTTAGGTCTTTAAAGATTATAAGACTTGGAAGTTTTTTTTAATTAAACTTGGTGGAACATAGAGATATAAAGGTAAAATAACAACGGAAAATCAATTTCGCGGTTGATGCTATTGTATATACTTAATACTGATAATTAATGGCAAATTCTTTGTTTCCTTATTTGTTAACTTGAATCACACTTATCGCACTTTCACATCTTATCTGTTTTATATAATTGGAAATTGAATGAATTAAAACATGTGTCTTTGTGGTATTTTATTGCCATTTAACTTCTGTACAAATAAATATATGTTCTCTTACACAATTGCGACAATTTTTTCATTATATAAAGTCCAAAAAATCGAACGCCATGGACAAAAGAACTTTTGATTCGGATAGCATAACGGTAAATTCTTTTTTTTTATGGTCATTTGTAAAAATAGCAAATGACCTTATATTTTTTTTAACATTTTTTAGATTATATATGGAACCTACTATTTCAGAAATTGATTCGGAAATTTCTGTTGTTGACTATGGAAAATGTATAGATTGTGGAAGTGTGCGAAGCAATGTAGGCTGGTGTACTGAATGCAATGTAATTGCTTTTAAGGAAAGTTTTGGAAATTGGACAAGTGGTATTCCTCTTATTGACAATTTTATTAAATATACGCAAATGAGCGCAACCCAAAACTTAGATTATCTCGAATATATTGAATTTAATCAACTTGTTCTTGTAGAAAATACAAATAAAGGTGGCGCATTTAGCATAATCTATTCAGCATTTTGGTTAGAAGGTCCTCGATGGATTTGGGATGAAGAAGCAGAACAGTGGACGCGTAATGGTCCTATAAAGGTAGCCCTTAAAAGGCTTAATAACTCGCTAAGTATGAGTGAGGATTATTTGAAGCAAGTTAGTCATCAATATTATTATATCATTTGTTAAATTTTTCATTTCAGAATTAATAACTTTTTTTTCAATGTATTACAAATTAAAGCTTTATCAATATCGTCGTTGTCTACTAGATATACATGTGGCAGAAGTATTCGGAATAGCTAAAGATAACAATACAAATTTTATGTTTGTCATGAAATATTATGAGAATGAAGATTTACATTCATATCTTGATAATGTAAAAGGAATGCTATGTTGGAGAGATATTGTTGAATTACTTTGGGGAATATCTGAAGGCATAAATAAAATTCATGAAAAAGGATTAATTCATGGAAACCTTCATGGAGGCAATCTTTTGATTGAAAATACACCAGATTCAGTAGAAGCACGTATCAGTGATGTGGGATTGCATTTTCCTATTGGTAAAACAAATTCAGATAAAATATATGGAGTTCTTCCTTATGTTGCTCCCGAAGTTTTACGAGGGAATCCAATAATAAAGGCCTCTGATATCTTTAGCTTCGGAATTATCATGTGGACACTTTCTGCAGGAATTCGTCCATGGTACAATAGACCACATGACCTTAAATTAGCAACCGATATTTGTGCCGGTCTTCGACCAGAAATCATCGATGGAACTCCAAAGGCTTATGTTGAATTAATGACAAATTGTTGGGATCTTAACCCTTCAATGCGTCCAACCGCATCTGAGTTAAACGAATTATTAAGTAATTGGATAAATGCTATATGTGACGATCCACATCCATCTGAATTATCTGAACAATTTGATCTTGCTGAAGAGAAAAAATTTTCAAGTTTGAACAAACATGAATTTTATCAACCGGAAATCCATTCTGAATCTTGCTATACGAGTAGATCTTTGTATTTTCCTGAATTAATTAATTGATAATACAAATTACATTAATTTTGGCAATAATTTAATCATTGGAACAAATATAAAAATAGGCATTTAATTATGCATCGCATCGCATCGTTGAAATGATCATTAATTACCTACATGATTTTACTAAAATTATGCAAATCAGGTCAAAATTACAACCGTTCTGTTACTAGTAATATTTTTGGCTCAATTATTTATAAGTATTATATTTCTTAAGGATTTATGAATAATATAGTAAGTTTTATTTCTCATATGTAATAAATTAATTATGATTTAATAAGACACCAAAGTTTCAAAAGTCAAAAGTATATATAATTATTGCTACAACTTTAAACAGTAAGCAGCAAAAAAGACTGCGTCAGATATACATATCGCTGCGGCAAAATTCATGAAAATGCAATATATGAAATATTTTGTATGTTATTTATCTACATTTACTCATTTATAGTTTACTATATTATCATTATTTTCATTATGCTTATTCTTAAATGTGTGATATACAAAGGGTGGCGATAAGTCACTGAACGTTTTTTAACCAATATAAAACTTAAAATATTCTAGCATTAACGATAAAAGGTCAATAATATTTTATTTAGATATTGTTATAGCCTACATTTCGTACTAAGTAACTAGTACTTGTTCGGTCCTCCCATTGCTACAAATATTGGACTGTTTCTTCAGATATTGGATTAATCTTTACTATATAACAGCCTGAATTCACCATAGCATGTTATTGACTAAATTTTCGATAGTACATTTCAGAATTTTTTGCCATGCCTTTTTAACATAACAGTCAAGAACAGAAAGATTGAATAGCAGTTTTTTATATGCACGAATACCTCAGCCCATTGGGATTAAGATCAGGGCATTGAGCTGGCCAACTTAACGTATAAAGATCATTTCTGCTTAAAATGACATCACAACCTTCGTTTGTGAGGTCAGACATTATCTTCTCAGAACCAACCATCATTATTTGAGAATGTTTTTCTCATAGCTAATATAGAACAATTAGTTCTATATACTTTCATGAAAAGCAATCCCAGTTAAAGATATTTGCCAAAACTCCCTCAAGATAATTTTGTCATACCCCTCCCCTTACTATGTTTTAATATAGCTAATTTTGGATTTCAGGGTTTCGTCATATCACTCACTATGTTTTAATATAATTTCAGCTGTTTATTAATTGCCTTTTTGGGTTTCATCCCTTATTTTTAATTCCAGTATATATAGCTAGGGCTGTACTTTACTGTTGTTAAAACACAAAATAAATATCACTAATCCTCTGATTCTTTTCACAACTATTGTGACTTTATTGAAAATGAGAGAAGGTTGATTCATCACTCTATAACTTTTAACCAATCCTTTTTGTTTAATTTTGATGCTTTAAACACTATTCGCTGGTGAAATTAAAGGCTTTTTTGTGTAATATAACTTTCAGTCTAGTATATTTAATGGTTCTTCTAACAGTCACTATTAAAATATCTTGTTTAGACTTTTTTCTAAAGTTATTGTACTTAATCAATACACAGACAGTGATTTTTGGTTTTATTATTTATCACAATTTATTTAAAATGATTACATTGAGAAATCATAATCAAAGGTAAACATTCAGAATGAGTTATTATTATAGATGATCCAGTTGCATAAACTTTTTTTATAGTATAATAAACAGTTAACAATTCACACTTAACAGTATTTGCAATAGTCTAATAATTGTCATCACATTTGTAATAGTAAAATATGGCTTTACATTATTTTTAGGATAATTCCATTTTTTGAACCATTTTTTGTTTTTTGTTTCTGGAAGAGAAATCGTTATAATTGTATTTAAGTTAAATTAAATCAAAACAATCAAAACAACAAATTTTTGAGTATGTAAATAAACAATAAACTATTAAATGACCACTTATAGTATTGTGTTCTTTTTGAAATTTCTATCAAAAATTATTGGAATGCTATAATAAATTTAGGCTGTAATTGCAGTAAAGAAAGGTCTAATCAAGTACTAGTTATTTAGTATGAAATTTTGACTATAACTAAAGCTAAATATAAATTTATTTAACCTTATAGTTAATAAAAAAAATTTAAGTTTTATATATAATGAAAAAGCATTCAGTGATTTATAATTATACTTGCCATTTAAACCTAAATTTTTAAAATGCCTATCTAAATCCAAATCTATCCCATCCAAATCTCAAAGCTAAAACTGAAAAAAAACTAAGTTTAATAAGCCATAATCCTAAGCTTAGAATAATAGGTCAACCCCAAACAAATTCTAAATTTAATGTGAACAAACCTAACCTAAAATAGATAAATTATATTTATTTATAATTTTATTATAAATTTTATTAAAATTAACATTTATAATCCTATTATTTCTATATTATATTAATATAGGATTCCAGACATTTTTAAAATAACTTAGAATTTTCCAAAAATTAATACTTTTTGCTTTTTTAGATTTTTGTAATTTTCTCAATATCTAATAATTTAATTAATTTAATTTTAATAAAATTTTTTTTGATTGACTTTTTTTCAAATAAAGTTATAATACAAATATAAAAATAAATAAATATTTATATAAAAAAAAAATAATAGTGATTTTAATAAAGTAGTTTTGAATTTCAATTCAAAGATTTAATTTATTTAGGGATTAAATATCTTATAATTGGTAAAAAAAAATCAGGTTTTTTTTAAAGCATTACTCATTTTTCTATAAAATGATTATCATTCTTTTAATTATTTTTCTTATCTAAATTTTATCTTAATACCACTTTTTCTAAAATTCAAGGCTTTAGTTTTGTTTATATTTAGAATTTGTTTAGTTATATCTATCTAAACCTGATTTTTTCAGTTTTCTATTATAGGATTTTAGGTAACACTGAAAATTCCATTTGTTTTGGTATTTTCACTAGACAAATTCTAAAAGTTTGGATTTAGATGACAAGTATTCTTATGGTCACTCTATGTAATAAAAAATTTTATATATAAATAAACTTAAAATCAGAATAATAAAATATTATCATTCTTCTTTTAATTAATATATAGGTTAGTTGTAATAATTATTTGCATAAGTAAACAGTAATTTATAATATAAAAGATTTTCTATAAAAATGGGGTACTGTTAATTTTTTGACTAAATTTTATTCTTATTGCATTTTAATCTAATATTATCAAACAATAAAATTAAAATTTTGTTAAATTATTTTTAGAATCTGATTTATTTAACAAATCTTTCATATATATACTTTCCAATAAGAAATATCTAATCACCTGTAAATTATAAAATTAATATATTGATTTTCACATTTAATTTCTTACAAATTCACTAATGCATTTATATAAAATTTATGTATAATTAAAAACCTTTTTTATTAAAATCTAATTGGATTACTCTTACTATCTATTACAATTTGAACACTTTTTAGTATTTTAATTAAATTTAAGATTTAATGTTATTCTATTTCTTCTTTAAAATTACTATTAATTCTTCAAAATTTTTTTTAGATAAGGTTTATGTATTTTACAAATTTTCATTTGGATTAAAATTTGACTTTATTCAAACTGTAAAAAATTTAATATTGAATTTCTCTCTTTCCATTAATAAACTACTTCTGTTCTGTGAACTATACTAGTTGAAATCAAAAAATAACCATTTACTATTTATTAGCAATTCAGATTAATTCAAAAATCAGTTAAAAATCAGCCATTATATTTATGACCAATTTATAGTAGATTAGAATTAAGCTAAAAATCAACTCTGATTGGTCCAATAAAAACTAAATTTGTTGAATTAAAATACATTAAAAAATATTATATTTATTCATATAAAAATATTAAAGAGATGAAACTTTTGACGAAATTACAATTTTTCAAAAAAGAGTTTAATCAGGTATTACTAGCTATCATAGATGATTATATTATTTATGTTAAAGAATTGTTGATAAAATCACCTATATTTAATAAAGATCTTGCCTGAATAAAACCTGCAAATGGTTTATCTATTAACCATATCTATTCATTCAATTATGATATTCTAATAAATGTTTTTATTTTACCATTTTTTTTATTATGATTAGAATCTAGTTAATTATATTGGTATCACATAAATCCTTGATTATATGCTCTGATGCTCTGTATCAGCTAAAATAAATCCAAATTTTTCTTAAAAGAATTTGGAAAAAAATAATTTCGTCGAATTGTTGTTTTTCTTCTAATTGATTAATTGCGTACCATTATGATCAAAATGACACATGAACTGTTATAGTATTTAACATAATCGATGATATTATTTAAACAAATCTCATGTCTCAAAAAAAATTTTTATTGATAGTATATTATATTACCAAAAATAGTATAATATTAAACCTTAAAAAAACACTATTTTTTCTAATACTGATATTATAGACTTTTCACTGAGTAATTTATTAAAGGATAATTCACTTTGTAAATTAGCTGTATTTTTATAGAATAAAGTGTAAAAAGATCTATTATTTGATTACTAAGCTATAAATAAATACTTACATATTGTTTTTTTTCGGTGAGATAACAACTTTATTGAATTGTTTAAATAATTCAAATCTTGCCTAACTTATTTATATTCATGTAAATATAGAAGAATTATTTCGATCAAAATATTCTCTTATTGCATCTCAATGAATTTATAAAAAAGAGGATTTTTTGTAAAGACATGAAAAAATATTTTTATATGAGACCCATGATTGTAATAGATGGATATTTGTATTACATCATAAATTATATAATAAAGTCAATAAATCAATCTTTTCTGTATTTTTAGCTAAATCATAATTTTTACTTTTTTCAGCTGCAGATAAAAGTCCAAAATCTCTTCCATTTTATTTTCATCTTTACATTCATAAATTTTAAAAACATTTTTTTTTGCTTAATATTTAGATGATAACAACTTCTAATCATCATAATTTCAAGAAAGCTATAGTATCTGAAAATAATTCAACCAATAAACCTTTTGTTATGATTGCGTTTATTAGAACTATTTGTTAACTCTGCTCTAGAGTTATTGAAAGCAAACAACACCTTAAGGTTAGTATGTTATTATATAGCAATATTTTAGTTTAATGATATACATATTTAACATAATATAAGATTTTCATGCTATATTTTATTTGGATTATACTAATGATTATATTATTTATCATAGGCTAAAAAAAAGTTAACAATACTGTGTAAAACAATGATATAACACATCAATTTTTAGAGCTTTAATTAGATTTCATAGTAGTTCTGACATTACTACTAAAGAAATTATTGAATAAGACAAGTGAGCTTCAATTGGATCCTATAGAAATTTTAGCATTACCACCAAAAAAATTCTTTGATTAAGACAATTAAATTTCAATTGGACTCCATAGAAGTTTCAGTATCACCACTAAAGAAATAATTGACAAGATAAATGAGGTCAACCTATATATCTCAAAGATTAATACCATTAAAAAAAGTTATATTATTGATCCTTTGTTCTTATTTAGTAAAGCTTTTGGATCAAAGGTAATATTGAATAATCATTATGTTAGCATATTTTGATTCATAACCGATTTGATTAACATTACATATATTGGACATTTTAGATCAAGTTCATTATAATAGAGAATCATCATGAACCAATAATCGAAAAACAAAAGCTTAAGCAGAGAAATGATAATATTAGTAGAATATCAAATTATAAGATATTTAAAGAAGTATTTGTTATTGTTATTTAATAATTAACTACTAACTTATTATCCTCCTATTATTTCTTCAAATAATTGATATATAGTGTCTCGGCTTAATGAAAAAGATGCTATTATCCTAAATAAAGTTATGCAATATTCTTAGAAAGCATTTGAAGAAGTACTTATAGTCAAGAAAGTAATTATTTGTATAAAAATAACTATAACTGAATTTATAAAAGATTAAACTATATAATCTTATGATGAACTCAAAATAGAATCTTCTATCAAAACTAAAAAGGATTCTGGATTTAAAAAATTTATGATAAAGAAGGTATTTTAGTATAATGTAAGTATATCACCTTTAATTTATTCATTTTAAACCTCGATTTATTATATTAAGCAATTGATTTATTTAGTATACTATAGTCAAGGCTTATTTGGATCTCTTTCAAAAAGACAAAATCCTTCTGATAATGATATAAATAATGCCATTTATGCTGCTTTGATTGTAACATATCCTGCTGAAGTTACTAAAGTTAAAAAAGCTAAGAGTGGTTGAAACAAGTATTGGACAGAAGTTCTTCAATCAATGGTAATTTGTTTCTTAACCTTTTAATACATTATTTATAACTTATTTTGAATTTTTTTAATTGAATTAATGTTACTAACTATATATCAAGTCTGATTATTCAGAAAACTTATTGAATTATTAATATTAATAATAATAACTATTATAAGCACATTGTGAATTTAGGGTTAAACTTGCTAGTTATATTTGAAATATTAGAGAAGTTAAATGGTTCTAAACGATCCTAAAAGTCCCAATAAATTTGCCAGTTCTAGAGAAGATTTTTATTTTACTGGCATTATATTTTAGTTTTTAATGATAATTTATTCATTGAATATAAATTAAAAATATATATTAAACTTATGCGGAAACCCAGAATCTTAATTTTTGAAACTTAGAACCCAGTCCTAATGACCAGTTCCCATCTTGGCGGTCCCATATTAATTGTCAATTCCAAAGTTCATATTTCTTTTATAAGTTTTTCATAAAATTCATTATTACAATTATTTATCAAGGGTTACTTATTATAGATAAGTGATCAGACTTTTCTATAACTCATAATTTCAATATTTGTTTACAGTCATTTGGGACCATTTAACATCTCTATGAAATATTATAAATTCAGTTACTAGATTTTTTGATAAAGTTTTTATTGAGAATTATCCTAAGTATAAAGCAATAACTAACGAAATTTTAGTCTAGAAAACTTCAGAAAATGCAAAATAAGCGAATGATCATCTTTGGAGTCAAGTAGATCATTGATTTTATATTTGATTTAAATATTAGTATCATAACTTTTTTAGAGAATTAATAGTTAGAAATATAGCTGAGAAAGATGAGGAATGTGAATTAGCATCAATGGTATTACAAAAAAAACTGTGCAATCAAGTATTTAATAAATGTTTTAATTAATTTGATTAATTGATTTTATTATATTACATGTTATTTCATTAAATAACTAGGATTAGAATAATGTTTATAGTGAAAACAATTATGAGATAACTGGCAATCTTAGTTCAGATGATAATATAAACCAAAACTATTATTAGAAGATTTATATAAATAGCTTAATATTATTATACTAATTTTACTTCAATAATTTGTATTTTTATTAATAAATTAGTCTAATTAAAATGAAATTAACATTATAATATTATATTGTTTTTTAGTAATATTTATTATTTAAAATATATATAGTTGTATATCGAATAATACAATATACATTATTTTTCAGTGATGCACATAAACTTTTAATATTTATTAAAATAAACATCATTTTAAAATTTTTCTAATGTATAAATAAATAAAAACATATAGCCAGACCTGTTTCTAATGAATCTTCTCTTGTAAATGTACCTAATTTACATATCATAATAGAGAGCTTATTATTAATCTGAATTGTAAATGATTAAAAAGTAATATCTGCAAGCAACTATTCTGAAAAGGAAGAAAACAGATTTATAAATTTGTATTATATTGATTTTGTTTATTATCTGTATAATATCAACTAGTGCGTAAAATACCCTGTCATCTGAAAAGTATTAAACTGATCATAAAAAAAAATAAGACCAAATTAATCAAAGAGTGAAAGGATAAAAATACTAGATCACTGCAACTCAAATCAATAGAATGTCAAAATAATAGCAATATTGTAGCCTAAACATCACCATGTCTCAAGTTAAACTTGGGATATCACAAATCGGAATTCCTATTTTGTACTTCCCAAACTGGAATTTTGATTTTGAATGATTCTACCTAGATCAATCTGGGATATAGTCAGGTTTGGATATTTCAAACCCGACTGTGTCCTAAATCTATCTAGGTTAATTTGGAGTTTGGAACATCTGATATTTGAAACCTGACTGTGTTCCAAATTGATCTAGGTAAATTTGGAATATGGTCAAGTTTGGGACATTTGATTCTCCAAACCTGACCATGTTCCAAATCTACCCAGGTAAATTTGGGATACAGTTGTGTTTGATATAATATGTTTCAAACTTGACTATAAACTAAACTAACTGGGTTAGTTTGAAACACGGTCAAGTTTGAGGTCTCGGACACACAAACTTGACTATATGGGAGGTAGTCAGTAGAAAAGAGGGAAATCCAAATTTTGGTCAAAATTTATATTATTGGACCACTTGGCTGATCTCGATCATGTGCACAAATTTAGCTTAATAATAAAAATTAACAAAAATTTTGGATTTCTCACTTTTCTACTGACCACTTCCCATATCCCAGATCCGATTTGGGATATTCCAAGTTGAATTTGAAACATGATCAAGTTTGGGATATGATCACCAAATTAGAAATTGCAGTTTGAGAATTCTGAAATAGGAATTCTGATTTGAGATATCCCAAGTTTAACTTGGGACATGGCGACGTTTTGGCTACAACAGCAACACCTAAGTTAAAAATAGCAAGAGGAAAAAAATTTTTTTTTACTTTGAATCTAACCGGAATTTAGTTAAGAGAAATTTTTCCGAATTTAAAGCCTTTTTAAATTTTATTTATTTAATTATGTAAGCAACAAACAAAAAATGAATCTTCATTGTGAAGGAGTATGAATCCAAATTTTAATCCAATCAGCGCAAAATGTAAAAAAAAAAAAAATAGCTTATTGATCACTTCGTTCTTACCAAATGTTAATTATAATATATTCAAATTTCATTATATGAACTTTATCTTATGCTTTAGATTTATCGCTTGCTTATTATATGTAATGTTATTATTACAAACTATTTGAGAGTTTATAATTGACTAACAAAAATAAATGATGGGAGGAATGCATGGTGATTTGAAGTTTATCGCAACTTCATTCTAGCAAGCATAAACCTTTGGGTTACGCAATATAAAACCGTGCATATATACTTACATCTTCAAACTTCAACTAATAAGTAACCATGTTTACACATAAAAACTGGGAGAACCTTCGGACATAATCCGTAAAGAAATTGCTTGAACTCAATAAGCAGTTTCTATACAATGATGGTTAAGGTAAATGTTAAAGACATTTTATTTAGTGCGATTTAAATTCGAAAGTGACAATTCGATTTATAACCTTAACTGTGTAAAGCATTAAATTTTATAAATAGTGCTCCTAACCGGTCGGGTCGACCCGGGTTATTGACTCGGGTTATGTTTTCGAGTCGGTTAGGGTCGTAATTTTGAGACCCGAGACTCGAATTAAATCAACCCGTCGGGTCGGAATGATACTTTACATGACCCGGGGTGATCTTTTGTACTACAAGACAAGAAAAATCCAATACTTTTTTTTTGTTTTATTTTACGATATTTTAATTAAAAATAATTAAACAATAAGCGAATCTAATCGACCTTGTGCAACTACTCGAAGCTTTACGTAGCAAACTTTTTACAAAAGAATTTTTTAAGAAAATGATCTGCCTCTGATATAAATCTCATCGAGAAGTAGCTTTCCGTATTATTTTTAAAAAAAAATATTTTGAATAAAACTTGGCTTAAAATCCTGGAGGCATAAGGTTTTGAAGTTATACTTTTCGATTCTTTAACTTTGCATTGTTAAATAATCTACAAATAAACATTATTATACCATAAAAAATTTCAAATATATTATAATAAATTTTATAAAAGTCACCCAGTACCCTTTCGGAGCACTAAGCGTAAGTATTATATAACTCTGTATGCACATTGGCATTTATACTCAACTTTCAAAAATAAAAATGCTTGACTGCAATCAGCCGTTAATAATAGTCGCTAAGATTTTTACTAATCATTGAGGACATGATACAATATAAATAATCCTATGATTATTTTTAAATTTTCAAAAACAATAACCGTTTTATTTAATAAATACAGCCGTATTTTATGAGATAAGGCGTGGTCATCTAAGAGAACTGGTCAAACATAGTATTAAAAAAAATTAAATTAATTTACTTAATTTTAAGATATAAAGTAATTTGTCAAATTATTTGTTCAAAAATTGTTTTTGTGTCTCTTCATTGATAATCAAAATTAAGTTATGAACTTTATTATGATAATATAAACATTTTTAAAACTTATGGTTTAATTATTTATGTTTTACAGCTTAATAATACTTATGTTTATTATGTTTAATTTTTTATAGTCGAATATCATATTGTTTTTGTGATTTCTATCTTCATCGATTAAGTTTTTTCAATTTTGATGTTTGTTTTCGATAAATGCCAATCATAATTGTTGCGAATAATTAAAGGCGTTTGTAAAATGCATATGTGGATTTCTATAATATTAACCGTTTTAATGCCAATTTAATTTTATATACGTTATACTTGCCAGTTTATATTTTCGAAAATTATAGAAGTTATTTCCATTGCTAATAATATTTAGTTGTCGAATAAGGTTTGAAAAGATGTTTTTACAAATGTTCATCATTTTTATGCAATTCAGGGAAACACAAGAGCCTGCTTGTATAAAAAGCTTCATTATGGATTCTTTTGAGATGAAAACCATAAATTTCTAAATTTGAAAATGTTTTCTTTTCAGCAAGGTCAAACTGATCAGATAATTCGGACTGATCCGGCTCGTCACATGCAGTAATCCATATTCCTAATAAGTCATATATTTCAGATGCAGTTGGACGTTTAGATATATCAGAATGCCAACATTGTGTCATTAATTTAACGTAATCGTATGGGGTTCCATCAATAATGTCAGGTCGAATGCCATTACAAATTTCACTAGCTAATTTAAAATCATGTGGTCTATTACACCAAAGGCGAACACCGGCAGAGAGTTCCCACATAACAATTCCAAAGCTATAAACATCGGAGGCCTTCGTAATTGGATTACCTCGCAAAACTTCAGGAGCCACATAAGGAAGAACTCCATATATACCTTTCTTATTAATCGAAGGATTAATCTCTGAAAACGTGAATTATTGCTAAGTGGATCTTGTTCATCTCCAACAAGTATAATTCCTCCATGAATATTTCCATGAATTGATCCATTGTCATGAATGTATTCAAGTCTTCCAGATATCCCCCAAAGCATTTCAACAATATCTCTCCAATTATTTTTTCCTTGAATTTCATCAAGATATAAATATAAAGTTTTACTGTCATATTTCATAACAAACATATAATTCGAGTTATAATCTTTAGTTATTCCAAAAAAGTTATCATTATCACTTTTATGATATTTATAAAGCTTTATCAAATATTTATTAAAATAATGTTAAATATTGACGCAAATAAAAATAATAATAAATAAAACTTGACTAACTTGAATCAAATAATCTTCGCATGTATTTTGCAAATTATTAAGTCGCTTTAGTGCAACTCTTATGGGTCCATTACGTATCCATTGGTCAGCTTTCTCATCCCAAATCCTTCGAGGACCTTCCATCCAAATCGCTGAATAAATTGTGCAAAATGCACCGCTTTTATTTGTATTTTCTATAAGATCGAATTGTTCAAAATCTATAAATTCTAAGTAATCTACACTTCCAGTTGCATTTAATTGAGTTCTTCTAATTAACTCATCAATACTTATATTTTCGCTTGTCCAATTTCCAAAATTTTCTTTAAAGGCATTGCTTTCGCAACCTTTACACCATCCGTCACTGACTTTTTCTTTTCCACAATCTAAGCATTGTCCAAAAACAGAATAGGATTCATTTTCTGATCCTTCTATTAATGGTGGCAAAGTATAATCTATAATATTGTTTATATGCAAGGACATTCTACTGTGAAATGTAAATCATGTTAGTATGATTATGCGAACAATTAAAATAATTTTTTTTATTAATCATATTTTTAAATCACGCGATTTTAAAAAGCTCGAGTCATGTGACTTATTAGTAATCTGTCAAACTGCGTAACACTGCGTCACTCCAACAATTTTTTCATTTTAATTTTTTTTTATGGTTAGCTTGATATATTACACATATATAATCACATGATCCATGCTTTTTTTGATTAGGAAGTTATGATCCGTAATTTGATTTTTTAAAAAAAATAAAAGCATAAATTCCTGATTTATTCTGAGTTCCATTATATAATCTATCAATGGAAGTATTGCTAGGAAAATGACTGTATTAATGAGGTCATTTTCATAAGCAATCTCCCACGTATATCAATTACCTATATAACGTTTCGCGTTATTTGTGATAAAATCACATGTGGTATATAATAGAGAACTTTCAAGTTCATAGAACTTGTTCGAATGAAAAAGTAAATCAAGAAGAAAATTAATTATCAAAGACTTACAATTTATTTAATATGAAGAAAGTGACAAAGGTCTGTTTAGTTTAATTTTAATGAAAATGTCTAAACAGGACCGAATAACATGCTATTTCTCAAACCTGATACAACTTTTAGGTATTTATATTTTTTAATTTTCTGACTGATCTGCATAATTTATGCATGTCAGTATTATAATAGTTCATGTGCAAAGGAATATTATGAACTTTCTTCCTTGATACGAAGCTAATAACTACTCTCCATTCTATTTGTATTGAAGTTTGCGTAATTCTGAGTAAATGCGGTTTTTTTATATTTTTTAAAGATAGAGTAAGCAAAGGTGATAGTTAATTATATTAGTATAAATTATTAAACGATTTTTTAGGATTCACTTTTAATAAGGTTTTGTGCTAGTATAATTAGTCTGTTAGAACGCGATTTCCGCGCGTTCAAAAGTTGAGTCGATACGCGATTGGTTATTATCAACTGCCAAATTAGGCAAGATGTTTGGTTTCGAAATTTACACCAATAAAAATGATATTCAAATAAATGATCTACAATGTTCGATTATGCGGATATGACGGATAATCATATATCCGGATGGACGGATATAAACCCTAATCTACAGAAACTATTTTTTATGTATTTTTGACAAATGGAACTACACCGATTATATGGTTTGACGAATTTTTGCAAAAAAATGTGATTACGTCAAATTTTACAACAAAATCCTCATTTGGCTTAAACTTGCACTATCAAAGGACGACCTGACAATGGTCATTGTATATTTTACCAATTATCAAAAAGGGTTCCAATAAATTTCAACGAAAATATATGACTTACAACCGAAATCCACCATTTTTATATTCAAAATACAACAAGGATTTATTATTCAATCCAGTGTAGAGGTTGGAACCGGTTAAGACGTTTATCTTGTTAGCCAGTTAAAGATTTTTTTAAATCGGTTAAAATATCTAATGTTAACTCTGGCCGAAATTTAATTTCGGGCAGAATTATTTTGCCCAAATTTATAGTGCCGGCCTTCAATAGTTTAAAGACTGCGATGATGAGGAGAAGGAGTTAAATTTAACCGGTTAATCCGGTTAAAGAATTTTTTAACCGGTTATTAACCGGTTAAGGATTTTTTTGGGCCGGTTCCAACCTCTAGTTCAGTGGCATATTGACCAGAGGACATTATTGCCGGAAGATATGATCAGTGGACATTGAATATTGACCAGATTTGATCAAAAAGTTTTGAACTGATCCAATTAAATAAGTTAACGTAACACTAATATATGCAATCTTACAGTCTTAATGAACAATCGTAGATAAGAAGCTATTTTTTTAAAAAAAATGAATAAATTAAATTCGATGCGGAAAAAGAATTGCGGTTGTTATAAGTAATGTTTTACGATTTAATAGCAATTATCCTATATGATTAACAATTTTTTTCATTTGAAAATAAAGCAAAAATTTTTTCGTACAGACGAATTATAATCAATCAATTTCCGAAGAAAGTATATAATTATTCTGATTAACATTTGATTTTTCACAATCACAATATATTTATTTTGATTTTCTGTCATTAACAATGGTCATTTATTTTATTTATAAATAATGATTTTTAATAGAATGATTACAACGGAATCTTTCGAAGAAGTAACAAATTTTTGTAACAAAAAAAAAAGTAATTTAAAATAAATTGATTGACGAATTTATAATCAATTATGAAATGACGAAGTAAATACGTTTATTTTATGATGATTTCTTTTTACAATTACAATTATTATATTTTTTAACTTTTTTTTTAGAAAATAGTAATTAATTTGTTATATACAATTATTAATATTAATAATTCTAATCAAAAAAAATATTAAAATAATAAATTTCGTTGTTCCAAACTATTATAAAGAACTTCTTTACGGAAAAGAAAAATACAGGGAGGGAGCGATCGTCGCTAAAATCAATGAATAATATTCTCGTATTACGCAAAAGGCTAAAACGTAATAAAAATAACATGTAATACATTTTTTTTCTCATAATTTTATATACATATTGTATATACAGATTTGGAAATATAAATATTTAATTCAATTAATTAATAACACGCTTATTCATGAACAACTTGTCAAATATTGATTGCATTATTATTATTAGTTGTCATATAAATTTGTAATATTAAATATTTACATTGAGATATTTAATGATAGATTGTCATGTGCAGGAAAGTATGGGACGTAACTTATATTTATATGGGTCAAAATATTTACTGAATTTTGATAGGCCATTTAAGATAAACAAAACAACGGGAACTGACGAAATCTCAAAATTAATTTCGTTTCTTAAATTCTGATTAAATGGTATTTGCAAAAGGGATTAATTAATAAAGGATAATTAATAATTGTGAAAAATTGGTTGTTTCCAGATTAATTAGAAATAATAAAATTGGTGGAGTGAATGCATCTTATAAAAAACTTACTGCACCATTCAAATTCAGAACAATAATAGATGGCTAATTACTAAATGGTATTATTGAATTTAACGCAAGTAAATATAGTATAGATACTAAAGATACAAGGAATTTTGAGAAATGTGATTTTGCTTCAATCATATATTCCGATTTAGACAGTAACTCTTCCTTTTCTTGGACGACAATAAAATTAACTTATACATTTAATATCTGCGACGATAGATTATTTACAACTTGTCCGATTTAATTAATAAATTCGTATAATTGATAAGCATTTAAAGCTGTTGCAAAGTCTGGAGCACAAGTGCAATGAAAGAGACCAATCACGATAAACTATGCTATGCTAAAATTATGTACTGTATATTGTGCAGTATTTATTTATTCGTGATGATGATGCGTGATCATTTGCGAATTCAATCAATCTTATCAAATATTTCAAATAATTAACAGAATCTATCGTATAATTTGCGAAAATTAAACATATTTGTTTGTTACATAATGTTGCATTTTTTTTTACTCAATGTCATCAATACAACTTTAAATAATTCGTTGTTCTTAAATTTATTTGAAAGATTTCATAATAAATAATCATTAACAAAATCTTTATGTCCGAAGCGAAGCGTAGGACTATTTATTATAAGATTATTGTATAATCAATTAAATAAATACCGGTGGACAAAAGTATTGTACAGTTAAGATTTAGATATTTTAGTTAAAAAGGCTGCCAAATATAGAATTTAAAACTTTGCATAAAAAAAATCGTTTGAAATCTCTATAAAGTTAATAAGTTAAGCATTTGTATATAATAAACACGATTATCTAATTTTCATTGTATAGGAATTGCGTGGTTGAACTTAAATTATTTTTTTACTTTTTTTACAAGTTATTGGTGTAAAAATTTCTTTCTCAAACTACAGTTGAATATTTTTCATAATAATGTGCATATTGTGTAAATTGCACGCAAGCTCCGTTTTGATAAACTAACCACAGTATATATACAACATTGAACTAAAAAAAATTATCGTTTATTAATATTTAATGGTGAATTATTATCGGTCTAATCCCAGAGTATCAGCATTCAAGTAACAGGATTCAGAAAGTAATGAAATGAAACTGAACAGTTAATCAGAATACTTTATGTTTCAGAATGCAGTAAAAAATATATGTATGTTATGAGGCTTTCAAAATTCAACGGACAAATCATTTCATTCGAACATTTTAAGAAATTTCTCTTTATCTTTCTTATAAAGGATGGTATATCTACATTTGCATGTCATTGACATGCTTAATTTATTAAAAGTTTTTAACGCGATTGGTTTTATTTTTTAAATTATTATACTGATAAATTGTTCAAACCTAAACAGACTGTTTGACAAAAATAAATTTTATAAATTTAATCCAGTACGAATAAAAATTCTTTTTAAAATTTATAAAAGATCTTTGATATTGAGGTTGGTGTCGTATTTTTTTCCACGGCACTTTATTTAATTGGTTCATAAACACTATGTGATTCGAAAATGCTTGATTAACGTGTGAAGAAAACCGTTTGTATACACGATAAATGTCATTTGAAATTACGTGATCGTTATTTACTTTTTAAATATTAATTGTGTAACTTAACATATTCAGTAAGCAGTGAAAAAATATCCAATCATAATCATGTACTGGTTTTGGTTGCCTTTTTAATGATTTTGGTTCTTGAGAAGACTGTTTAAGGGCTAAGAAATTAGTTAGCAAGCGGTGGTCATTGCCGATTACCCGTGAAGTTACGGTATAATTAATTATTCAACTTGATTATTATAATATTTCCTATAATTACTATCAATTTCAACCTCATTTCTTTTCTATTACTATTTTATCATAACATAGTTGCATTTTTATTGTGTCAAAATTAAACAATACACCAAATAAAAAATTGAAATTATCACTAATAAACCTTTTTTTAAGCTTTTTTAATAGTGAAAATAGAAGAGGCAAGTTGTTATAAAATTAGATCGTCCTGGTTTAAATCAATCTTTTCCAAATACAATTTTTGTTGCATAAGGAGGCAATTATTTCACAAACTTATTTTCATAAATTACTGAAACATGATTTTATGTATAATTAATAGCTTATATTATAATATCATGATCATAGTTTAAATAAACTCTCTTATCATATACAGCCAAGTAATTATGAAGTAATTTGAAATATTTTTAACTCTGATGTTTAAAAATACATATCTACCATATACAATGGTCTTAATAAGCTAATTACATTGCTGTATTGTCTCAGGTTCGACGTGAAATTATGATCATGCAATTTATAATAACAATTTTCGTAATACAAAAATTTATCGTTCTACAATTGACGCGAAATTTCGCTTTAAAACTTAAAAGTAAAGATAATTATACAACTTTTACAGCAATATTATATTTATTTTTATGCAAAGAAAGGTTATAGAGTTAGTTATTCTGGTTTAGATGTAAAATACAAAGTCAATTTTTAATAAATAAAATATATTTTATTTATAAGAAATATTTTGGTTTTTAAATGCAACGTGGTGGAAATAATACTTTTTATTAAGGTAATTATATAGCATTTTCTTTGATGGTGTGTAATTCTAAAAAATATTAATAATAATTTGAAAATAATTAGAAGCTTAGAAAATGGAGTAACGGTTATTAAAAAAAATTAGTAATATAATATAAAACAGTTATTTCACCATAAAATCATTGATATCCATGGATTCCCGTGAAATTGATGGTAAATTTAGACTATTACGTTCTAAAATTAGATTCTAGACCATTACCTTCCAAATTTACAATTACCCATTTACAATTTTTCTTAACACCCCTCCCTTGCTAGTGTATAGTATAGTTTATAGTTCGTGGTTTTCGTCATAACGCATCAAAATAATTTTGCAATTAATAATATATATTTAGTCATAATCAACATTTCTGTTCACTGTAATGTTTCAAAATAGTTAGAAATGTCGATCAAATGGACGTGTCGAAAAATATCGCATTTAGAGTTTCACCTTTATTTCATTTTGTTAATGATACATTATAGTTAGTTTTGACTAAGATCATTTATTGAATTTCTGCAATCATTTTACTAAATAAGCAATCGATTCAAATAGAATGAAGAGTAGTTCATAATATTCCTTTGCAATATTATAATGCTTACATAAATTATGCAGATTAGTCAGAAAATTGAAAATATAAATACCTAAAAAATTGTATCAAGTTTGAGAAATAGCTACATGTTATTCGGTTCTGTTTAGACTTTTTCATTAAAATTAAACTTAAAAGACCCTTTGTCACTTTATTCGTTGTTAGCTTAAATGGTTCGTCGTTAAGTTAACTAAGATTATTTGCTAACAGGGAGTTTAAGTACGTCTAAACTATGGAATAAATAAACACGGATTAATTATGTTGAAGTGTCAGGTCGTCTTTATCGATATAGATTTAAAGAAGTATGAAATTGTATATTGAGCAAAGGTATAATTGTTAAGAGATAAATGTTATTGATTTATTAGAGAATTGTAGCGACTCTGCCGACTCTGCCATTTATTGAGGCAGAAATACAAGAAATTTATATAAAATACATCAATATGAAATAGATATTTAATATAGTAAAGAAAAATAAGAAATATAATATAAATACGAAATTAAAGATATATAAGATATATAAGATATTATAGATCGTTAAGATCGCTAAGAAATTAGAGAAATCATAGAAATTAGAGAAAGTTGAGATCCATGATCGACGGGGATCATCATTCGTTAATTGTGATTGGCGCAGTATTAATGCGTCATAACTAGACTATCACTAACATCGTCTTAAATAAATTGTAAGTCTTTAATAATTAATTTTCACCCTGATTTATTTTTTTCATTCGAACAACTTGAAAGTTCTCTATTATATACCACGTGATTTTATCACAAATAGCTAATTATTGACGCGAAACGTTATATTGGTTATTGATATATGTGGGAGATTGCTTATGAAAATGACCTCATTAATACGGTCATTTTCCTAGCAATACTTCCATTGATAGATTATATAATGGAACTCAGAATAAATCAGGAATTATGTTTTTATTTTTTTTTAAAAATCAAATTACGGATCATAACTTCCTAATCAAAAAAGCATGGATCATGTGATTATATATCAAGCTAACCATAAAAAAAACGCGTGATTTAATAAATATGATTAATAAAAAAAAATTATTTTTAATTGTTCGCATAATCATACTAACATGATTTACATTTCACAGTAGAATGTCCTTGCATATAAACAATATTATAGATTATACTTTGCCACCATTAATAGAAGGATCAGAAAATGAATCCTATTCTGTTTTTGGACAATGCTTAGATTGTGGAAAAGAAAAAGTCAGTGACGGATGGTGTAAAGGTTGCGAAAGCAATGCCTTTAAAGAAAATTTTGGAAATTGGACAAGCGAAAATATAAGTATTGATGAGTTAATTAGAAGAACTCAATTAAATGCAACTGGAAGTGTAGATTATTTAGAATTTATAGATTTTGAACAATTCGATCTTATAGAAAATACAAATAAAATCGGTTCATTTTGCACAATTTTTTCAGCGATTTGGATGGAAGGTCCTCGAAGGATTTGGGATGAGAAAGCTGACCAAAGGATACGTAATGGACCCAAAAGAGTTGCACTAAAACGACTTAATAATTCGCAAAATATATGCGAAATATGCGAAGATTATTTGAATCAAGTTAGTCTAGTTTTATTATTATTATTTTTCTTATTTGAGTTAATATATAGCATTAATAATAGTGCTCCGAGCCGGTCGAATCGACCTGGGTCATTTGACCCGACTCGAGAAAAAATTCGAGTTGGGACTTTCATTTTATGTCACGAGTCTTAATTTCTTAAAACCCGTCGGGTTAGGGTCTCGATTTTGCTTGACCCGGGTGAAACGAATGATCAGGTGATGCTATTAAATGATATGTGATATGCAACTTTTTGAGTGAAACCATCGACTTTATTAATTCCGATAATACAGCTTCTCGGAAATCGATAATAATTGCGAAGCGAACTTTTTTGCAAAGAGCTTTTGAAGAGAAACTTCTTCCACCTGAATTTAAAATTCAAAAACACATCGAGAAGTAAGATGTCTTAACTGTTCGTATCTTTTTTAAATAGAGTATAATTTGGTATATTTTAGATTGATATTTTTTTTTTCAAAAATATTAGTGGACATAAAACGTGGCTCCGCAATACTGGTGATTCAAATTTCAAATACAAAAAAATTATGTCGTTATTTAGAGCGCAATCATCCAAATAGAAAAAAAAATATTTTAATAAACCCTGTTGAATGATTTTAGACTTAACTCAATTTGCGCATGAATTCCTGGAGCCAATAATATATTTAAAAACACTAAATTTGAATTAAAGTACAACCAAAGAACTTTAAAAATAAAAAACTTTCAAATTTAATACACACTTTTCATTATATACATAAATAAAAAATTTTTTTTACTTTCGGAATTAATATTACTGTAAAATTCGAGTCGAATACGAGTTTAACAATAATCGGATTGGGTCGAACAATAATCGAATCGAGTCGAATTCGGGTCCTATAAATATTAACGGGTTCGAGTTTGCTTCAAACCCGACCCGACCCGACCCTTACGGAGCACTAATTAATAACATTTTTTTAATAAATTTTTAAAGCTTTATAAATATCATAAATGTAATAATGGTGACTTTTTTGGAATAACTAAAGATTATAACTCGAATTATATGTTTGTTATGAAATATGACAGTAAAACTTTATATTCATATCTTGATGAAATTCAAGGAAATAATAATTGGAGAGAGATTGTTGAAATTCTTTGGGGGATATCTGGAAGACTTGAATACATTCATGACAATGGATCAATACATGGAAATATTCATGGAGGAATTATACTTGTTGGAGATGAACAAGATCCACTTAGCAATAATTCACGTTTCTCAGAGATTAATCCTTCGATTAATAAGAAAACTATATATGGAGTTCTTCCTTATGTGGCTCCTGAAGTTTTGCGAGGTAATCCAATTACGAAGGCCTCCGATTTTTATAGCTTTGGAATTGTTATGTGGGCACTCTCTGCTGGTGTTCGCCCTTGGTGTAATAGACCACATGATTTTAAATTGGCTAGTGAAATTTGTAATGGCATTCGACCTGACATTATTGATGGAACCCCATACGATTACGTTAAATTAATGACACAATGTTGGCATTCTGATATATCTAAACGTCCAACTGCATCTGAAATATATGACTTATTAGGAATATGGATTACTGCATGTGACGAGCCGGATCAGTCCGAATTATCTGATCAGTTTGACCTTGCTGAAAAGAAAACATTTTCAAATTTAGAAATTTATGGTTTTCATCTCAAAAGAATCCATAATGAAGCTTTTTATACAAGCAGGCTCTTGTGTTTCCCTGAATTGCATAAAAATGATGAACGTTTGTAAAAACATTTTTTCAAACCTTACCTTATTCGACAACTAAATATTATTAGCGATGGAAATAACTTCTATAATTTTCGAAAATATAAACTGGCAAGTATAACTTATATAAAATTAAATTGGCATTAAAACAATTAATCTTATAAAATCAACATATGCATTTTACAAACGCATTTAATTATTCGCAACAATAATGATTGGCCTTAATCGAAAACAAACATCAAAATTGAAAAAAATTAATCGATGAAGATAGAAATCACAAAAACAATATGATATTCGACTATAAAAATTAAGACATAAGTATTATTAAGTTAAGCTGCAAATCATAAATAATTAAACCATAAGTTTCAAAATGTTATATTGTCATAAAGTTCATATCTTATTTATGTTTATCAATGAAGAAATGTTTTAACAAATAATTTGACTATACTTTATATCTTATAATTAATTATATTAATTTGTACTTTAAATACAATTTATTTAATGCTGCTATGTTTGACTTGTTCTCTTAGATGACCACATCTTATCTCATAAATTACGGCTGTATTAACGGTTATTGTTTTTGAAAATTTAGAAATAATAATAGGATTATTTATACTGTCGATGATTCAATGATTCTATTAGTAAAAATCTTAGCGACTAATTTAGTAGTCAATTATTAACAGCTGATTGCAGACATGCATTTTTATTCTTAAAGTTGAGTATAAATCCAGAGTTATATAATTATTACGCTACATATCGTACTGTTCAATATATTAAGTCAGTATATAAAATAAATACACGTGATAGAATGAGATAGAATGATAGCATTTATAGATCAATTCGTAGGATTTAAGGAAAATATTTCTTCCTAAATTGTTCAATCAATAAATAATTAATTAATTAGCGTTAATATTAAAAATTAAAATGCAAGTTTTACTTGCTCAGATACTACATTATGCCGTACGCAATAATTTGATATTTAATAATGTGACCGTCCGGCGAGGACAATTTACTGTACTGTAATGTTTAATGTTACCCCTGAAATATTCACCTATTATACTCCTGCTTGTTTTCTTTTTTAATTAGTAGATACAATTTGTAATATTTATTCTAGGTAACACAAATAACTCCTGAAATCTTGCAAGGAAAATGACTAACGATGCCGCAGAAATTGGAATGATCATGTGGACTCTCTCTTTGCCATGGTATATTATGCCACATGACTCGAAATTGGACAGTGAAATTTGTTCCGGTCTTCGTCCTGAAATTAGAACTCCAAACGTATATACTAAATTAATGACACTAGTGCTCCGAGTCGGTCGAATCGACCCGGGCCATTTGACCCGACTCGAGAGTCAGGACTATCGAGTCCTATGTCGGATTAATTATTTTTTTTAAAACTTTAAAGGACATAACATAAAACATTGATCCGTAATATTGGTGATTCAAATATAACAAAATTTGTGGTATTATTTAAAGCGTAAACATGCAAATAAAAGTGAAATTATTTAGTGTTAAACGAGTTTAGATGTGATCTAATTTAGAATTAATGTACAACCAAAGAACTTTAAAAATAATAATAATAACTTTTCAAATTTAATCACTTTTTTCATTAATTTATATTTACTTTCGTTATTAATATTACCCTTAAAATACGAGTCGAATCCGAGTTAAACAATCATCGGGTCGAATTCGGGTTCTGTAAATATTAACTAACGGGTTCGAGTTCGAATAAGCTTCAAATCATACCCGACCCGACCCTTACGGAGCACTATCTATAAATATAGTAAAAGAAATTAAGCATTTCAACCTTCTAGATGTTAAATTTTGTTTTATTTGTAATCAATCGAAATATAAAAAATATCTTAAGTATTTTTTTATTTTTATGACAATCGAGGCGAATTGTCACCATAAAAAGTTAGTTTTAACTTTAAAGCTATGTTTACTGTTATTTTCATTGTTATAAAATTTATACATACGTTAATTCTTCTGTAATTATTGACATATAAGTTTTGTACTTTTTTCCTTATATAAAATTAACAAAATATTTAAAATATTTACATCATAACTATCCATGAGTTTATTGTCCAAACCTCTAATTTTTTTGTTCTTGTTTTCATATAAAATTATTAATTCTTCTCAATTATCTTCAACCACAAATATATGCAATCATAAAAATTAACAGATTTATCAAAACATTTCTTTATTTCTCATTCCCTTTTAAATTTACGACTTTTATGCTTGTTTGTTACATTTATTACAGTCGAATCCGTTGCTTTTTCGGCTTCTCTCTGATTTTGCTTTTTGGTTCTCTTCGGTTTAATTTTTTCGTCGTTCAAGTTAACATTTTAATTTATTTTTGATATAATAATGAAATAAAGATTGAAATATTTGCGTTGCATGTCTAACAATTGAAAATCATAATAAATTATAATAAAAAATAATTCACAAATATAGGAAGTTTATATTTTTGAAAACCGAAAAAAAATATAAATTTTTTTAAAAAAAAAATCAAATGATGTAAATTACATAAATTATCTTTGGTAGGTCTTCACGTTTATTTGATTTTAACTATTTAAATTTTTAGATGCTTAAATTAGAAAAGAAAAATCAAGTAAAAAAACAGATCAAATATAAATAAAATCGCCTAAAAAACGTCTAGATAAGTATACAACCATTTAACAAAAATAATAATTAAATGAAAATAAACTGACCTTTCATAACGATATAAAAAAAAAATAAAATAATAATTAGAAGAATAATCCATAAACAAAAAAATATAATGCAAATAATTGAAAGATAGGAAACCTGTTATCACATTCAAACATCTTTCGCTACAGCCCGAAGTTATCAAAAACGAAAGTAACCGTGGAGAAATCAGATCGTTGCATTCCGGAACGACCGTAAATAAAACTAAAATAAAAAGAAACAAACTTACCTGATACCCGCGCCAACGATCTAATCAAGAAACAATTAACAACTTAAGGAAGAAAAAAGGAAATTGAACTACAATATGTAATATTTACTAATTTTTTTAAAATTTTGAACGAGTCCCAAAAGCCATCCGCAAGGGAAGTTTCATTTCTATAGAATGTCGCATGAAATTCTTCTCGTTTTATAATACTTGGAATTCAAGTTATAAAAAATTTACAGATATTTCGGCATGGAATGCAAACTAATGCTTACCAAATTTTTGCGTTGTGAAATTTTGAATGACCTTTGACAAGGTATCGTTGTACTAATAGGGGTTTCTATGCGAAATATAAATATTTCTCGTTCGTTGCTCCCGGGAAGTTCATTTTCTATTGACATGTATTACCCCTTCTTTCATTAAAACTTCCTTTAATACTCTGACTCTTAAGAATTCTATTCGTTCAATAATACTTGGAATTTAAATTCTAATAATATATTTATTTATATAGTCACTTTATAGTAATTTCAGCATGAAATTTAGTTCTTTGTTGCTGACATTTTTGAACGCGCTTTGACAAGATATATAAAAATTGTTGTTATAACATTAGTGTAACATTGTTTCGGGAAAGTTTTCTTCAGTGTAACATTTATTATACTTTTATGTTTTGCCGATTTGTGTTATTTCATAAAACTGTTTTGTAACTTTTTTATGGTGTACAAAAAAATAAACATTTTTATTTTTTTTGGTTTGTCATGATTTACAATTTGAAAGACAAGGAAAATAATGCCCGAAGAATAATGATAAAACGGCAAAGTCGGAAGTTTGATCGTCGTTTCAAAATTACAAAATTAAAAATATCAGCATACTTGAAACCTACACAAGAATTCTAAATTAAATTAACAAAGGATTGTCATTTTCTTATTTACTAATTTTAGAAAGAAAAACATAAAAGCTTTTTAGGTTTGTACCATTGAATCAATTTATGGTAACGTCCCAACTCGATTATAGTTCTAATATCCGAAACGTCGTAAAAAAAGTTGTAAATTTTTGTGCGACATAAACATTCCATACAAGTATATTAATTGTTTCCTGATGCGGTAATTAATAAATGACCGGACTTTTATGTCGTACAGATGAAATTAAATCTTATAAGAAACTTATCTTCCTTCAGAGATTTATTTATCCATAAAAATGTACTTTGGTATACCAAGTCTTAATTTGGAAGTTTTGTGAAAGTGTCTAATGCAAGTCATTACAAAGTAACTTTAAACAATTAACTTTTAATTAGCTTTGTTGCTAACACGTAGGAATTAAAAAAAAAGAACGTAAATTAACGTATCAAAATTTAGAACCTTCACAAAAATAGCAGAGTTAACAACCAACGACTGCAAGAAACTATTCAGATGTGGGTAAATAGTTTATTAATATCTTATATAAATCAGTCTTTACAATACATATTAAACTCCTAAATCTAACTTTAATAAAATTTAATAAACAAATTTAGGTAAAAAATAAACAAATGCGTACGATAAATCTCACGAATAAAATGCATTGTCGCGCAATATTCATAACGAGTGTTTGAGATTAAAAGCATTGTACCATTAAAATTTATCATTAATTCAATTTAAAAGCATAAAACAATGAGAAACATGCCCACTTTATTAAGCTTTTTTATTATATATTTTTTTAAAATTTATCATATAGTAAATCTAATTTCTAATTTGTTAAGTCAGCATCAGTTGCTATGGATATTATTCTCAAAAACAAAAACAAAAAAAAAAAAATATAAAAAAAATAAATATAAAAATAAAATATTATAAAAATTTAGATGATAAATACTATATAAATGACATATACCATAACATCTCATCAAAAATTCGATATATAATAAATGAATGAATAATTAAATATTGTCTTGACATCGTTTATGTAACGTTTTGGGTGTACATCTATTTTTTAGGTGTATGATGAATAGCCAGCGTTTTATCTAACACTTGCTAAATATTTTATTGATCATTTTGTAATTGAGAAATTAATTGTCGTAATTTTTTATTAGTTTCAGTTAACCTCTTGATTTTTTTATGCACTCTCGCATCTTTTTTCTCGATTTTATTTTTATAATTATCGTAATGTTTCTTAATATCTTGAATTATATTCTTTCCATCTGTAAGAATCAAATTTTTATTCATTTTTTTGAAATCCAATGCATATTTTGTATAACCCCTTTTCGAAACCATTATCCTAAACAAATTGGAATTATAGGGCATGATTCCATTCAATTCTCTCACATGATTAATGCCTACTTTCTTGGCTAGATCTTTGCATTGAATTATTAATGGTTTGTCTTTGTAATAAGAAATTATATCAACTCCTTTATCTCCCTTTACATTTCTAAAGTTTGTCGGCCATGAATCAGTTTTATGTGATGAATTTAAAATTTCGCAAATTTCGCGTTCGTATTTTGTTCCATCATTTTTCTTGAAATAAATAAAATCGAAAAGTTATGTAAGTGAGTGTATAAATGTTGGCCTTTAAAGCAGCAACCTTTAAGCTGATGAAACACATGTAAACAAAAAATCAAAATTAATTACTTACCACCATTTTTAAAAATATTTAGTAAATAAAAATAAAGTTTCAAATTTTGTTATTATAATTATTATTTAGTTAGGAAACTAATGACTTGTTTTTATAGATAATTTTCCTGTCGATCATTACGCGTTTAATGATTATTGTATGGCGATCTGTGCGGAGTATAATCCGACAAGTTGGAGTGTAAGGAGTTAAATAACCGATATTTTTATTTTATTCCAATCAAATAAAATATTTATGATTTTCATTAAATATATATGATTTGAAATAAACTTTGTTCCACTAAAATTATTTCCTTACTTTCAAACAATAACCGATCAGCATTCTGATTATATAAATTTTCTTTTTAATAACAAAAGCTTTTTGAATGTTCTTTTTGGAATTTGTGTAATATTTATTTAAAATAATATATTTGTAACATAAAAAGATTAAAAAGGTAACAATACTTTTTATAATTAAAAATAGATTTTTTTCCAAATTTGGTTTAAAATATAGCCGGAATGATGATAAATTGAATTATTCAAATCTTCTACAATAATTTTCTGGAATAAACACTGGTGTTACCGCTGTCACGTAAATTACGTTTTTCCAATTAATTGCTGTGTCGATTAGCTATTATTCTTTTACGTATCCTAATAGCCGATACTAATTTAATGATTTTGAAAAGAAAGCAACTTCCATGTGGTAAGTTTTTTCTAGATAAAGATGATATAATGAAAGAAAAATTATCCTGACTTTGAAAATTCGACGAAATAAGAAGCATCAATGATGATTGTGATAAGGACAATTTCAGTAAATAACTTAATTAGTTAATTACGTATTTCTTAATATTGGAAAGCGGTCTATTAACATTTGTATGCAAACAAAAAGATTTAAAGGCTAAAAAAAAGTCAAATTGATATAATGATACTGACAAATTATTAATTAACCAAAAAAAAAGTTGAAGACAAATTTATATTATGATTACAGTTGTCTGGCAAATCTCTTTGTTTACGTTACGGTGGAGCCACATAAACCTTTTCACAAAAAACCGTCGAAACTCGAAACCACGTCAAAAGTCATAACAATTCCGTCGAGGTATAGAGTTTCAACTTTTGCCATTTGCTAAAATGAGTTTTGCCATATGAATTGAACGAAATGAATTGTTTATAATAAGCTAATTTATTTTTAAATTTAAAATAGTATTATAAGGATTTTAGATAAAAATTTTTATCAAGTTTAAATTTAGGAATAGTAAAAATTTTGTAGTTAAAAGTTGATAAATTTAAATAAAAATTTATTTTGTTATTGCTATTATTAATATACTATTTTCGGGCATTGTGTCTTAAAATGGCATATAGTTTATGTAGATCAAATTCGTCCCCCGGCAACACAATTTGCCTCCTTGCTGACAATAGATTTTGTAGCCAAAATGACTTCTGGACGATAAGAATTCGGGTAAAAATTGGTGAAATTCCACTTGAAATGAAATGTATGTACGTAAACGAAACTTCAATTAATAATGTTCGTTAACAACTTGAAAAATTTGGAATTATTATTTTTCATTAACAAACTTTATATTAATTCTTAATTTAAATTAAAAAAGATAATTTACATTTTTATTTGACAACAAGAATAAATAATATATAGTAAAAAGCAAAGAAAGTTATAAAAAATAATTATTTCCTAAAATTAATTCAGTAATTTTATTGATTAAATTTAGGGCGGTCCAGACCTAAAAGGCCGGTCTTTATCTCTTTTTTGGAACAGACTGCTCCATAAGTCGGTCTTCGGATGGTCTTAAGTAAAACCGCTCTTGAGTCAATCCTGGTCATAAATTTATATTCATTCTGGATCATTCATAAAAACGATCCTCGGACCGGTTCTTTATAACTTATGTTACGAAATATTTCAGTTCGGACCGGTCCTCAGAATATGGACCGAGAACCGCAAGGTCATTAACAAACTAAGACTGACGATCCATCACAGATAATTTTAACAACACTATATGAAACTATTTTATTTATTTATCAGAATTATTATAATACTATAGACAACCTTATTTATCTATTGGATAAAGTAACCATAACTATTTTAACTATTAATTAAGAATAATCGATTCTAGTGAAAATTATGTGACGCATAATGAACTGGTTAAAGATAGTCTTAATTTATGTTTATGGAATTAATAATACGGATGGCGGAGTGACTGCGATGTTATGAGCAAGATATTAAAGATATCAAAAATATGTCATCATAATTTTTTTGTTTTAATTTACTTAATGGCGGCTATTTTATCACCTTTTAGGAAACAATTTTTTATTTTTAGTAGTGAAACAATTTAAAATTAGTATCTATAATTACAATAAATATACTTGGCCATTTAAGGTGTGCATTATGTTATGTTGGCGATAAAATTTACTTATTTTAAAGTTTTTTAATATTTTTTTTTTTTTTAAAAAAAAATAGATATTTGTAGTATGTGATATTTTTGTTATACTAAACAGACCTAACCTAACCCTAAACTAACCCTAACTTACCAATATTAACGTTAACTCCTAGCAATTAAGTATAAAAGGTCATACTCAACATCAATTATATACCATACAATACTCAATTGATCGACCATACTCCGTCTTACCTTGAATTTTTGTAGTTTATTATAAAAATATATATATATATATACTTAACGAGAGTAGAGAGTAACGAATTATTGAATTTTATAAAATATTGTTTGATCTCATCAATCAAATTTATTTATATATACGATGCAAAGTACACAATTCCAAACCAACCACCAATTATTTAATAATCAAAATATTCATCACGAAATGTATTGATTAAATTCTCTAATTCTATGAATCATGAAGGATAAAACATGTATAAAGAATTTTTCAATGTCAAGAAAATCATTTTCATTATTTTCATTCCAAATGTTTAAATTAAGGTAAAATGAGATAAACTTATCAAGTAAAAATTTCATAATATTATAAAACTAACAAAATTTTTTTTTAAAGTGCCACGGTCCGAGTCACACAACATTTGTTTATTCTCTAGTCACAGAATCACATCACAGAGTCACAGATTCATCGTGAAAATATAGAATTATTATACTTACATGTACAATGATTATCGCAAGTTTTGCAATTCCTGCATCTTGTAAGTTCTTGACATCTACCATAGGTACATTTGCGTTCACCTTTAATTTAAAAAGGAAAGTTAGTGGTTAGTTAGTAGAACTTTAGCAGAAGAATAATGACTCTGTGATTCTGTGACTCTGTGACCCATTGGAACTTACTCATATCATTATATTTAAAAAAAGAAAAGAAAACATTTGCCTTTATATAAGAAAGAAATTCTCCTAATTAACGCCATTTAAAAATTACTGATCAACGATTCACTGATTACGCAATAATTACGCAACTTGTTTCTAATTTGTTCTTAAAGTTTCTATCTCTGTGTTACGGCAAAAAAAGATCATGCGTCGGATAATCTTCCCCATCACCAACAAGGGTACGTGATTATGTAAATAATTATCACCCCGCGTCACACTAGTGTACTGGGGGATTTGCGTCGGATATCGATCACTTAAGATACCTTTTATTTATCACTGGGGACTTAGAAATATTTTTGTTATGAACGTCGTCACACCTATCATTTGACCACGTTTTGGGCTCTTCATATGGGCTGATTTGAGTCCGATCACATAATAATTTTGGGTGATAAAATCTGGTGTAACGTGATATTACAATGCATGTAAACTGCATATTATAATAAAAATCTGTGACATTATCTCGTAGAACCAATCTTCAATAAAAATAAAAACAACTGCAATTGCAAGTTGCAAATCGGTTTCAAATTGGTTTTGCGGCATCAAAAAGAGTTAGAGAATAAACTTTTAAAATTTTTTTCACCACGAAGTTAGTTTTAATTGTAATAAAAAAATATTTCTACGCTTATTTTGTGTTAAAATGGCATATATATTAGGGAGTCAAGGAAGTAACCAAAGCGAAATATTTTTTATAAACGGTACTTTATTATAAGTATCAAACTAATGATCATTTAATAAAATATTTAATTTAATCTTATCTAATAAAGTATTTTTTTAGATGGTTATTCTACGAGAAATTTTTCACACCAATATCCTACAAGTCCTTTTATAATGGCACAATACGTACGTATCAAGAAATCGCCCTTTTTATTTTTGGTATAAAGTAGTGTCTTTAGGATACTATCCGACACCAGTCAAATTTACACAAAAAAATTCTAAAGATTGTATTCAATATCAGATACCTGATAATTATAGTATTGAAACTGAGGTTTCTAAAATAAAGATTCGTTGTGAAACAAAATATCAACCAAATGGAAAAGTAAGGTTTACAGTAGTGTAGAAAGAAAATAGATCAGAGTGGAGTATATATAGTGATCGCTCTGCAACTAGTGTCATTAATACATTTTTAAAGGTATTATTAATTTTTTTATTTATATATTATAATTTTAATATTAACAGTTAATTTTTTTCGTTGATTTTAATTGTACAGAAAAATAATCGCTTAAATTCTAGTTTGTCAGGTGTATACATTTTTGGATTTGATATTGGACGAATATCGCTTAGAAGAAATTAGCGCTCCTATTACATTAACTAATAAAAGAAAATGACCTTTAGCAACAATTCAAAGTATCTCAAGGCAAAATTAAAGATTTGCATCTTTAGGCAAGGAGTCAGGAAAGGCAATTAGATATTTAATTAAGAAATATCAAATGACTAATGAAAAACATCAACCAATTGTTCATATTTGTAAAATTGAATTAAATTTTAATGGCGAAATTATTATTTTAACTTATAAGTCAACTGATAATGAAAGTGAACTTACTAAAATAGATGCTAATGTTAGGGCTTGTGATGAATCATTGTTAGCACGAGATGGATATCGGAGACTTGCTGCAGTTGAAACATTTCTTGTACACGAATATTAATAGCTAATCGAAAATTAAAATTACAAATCTTATTAATAAAGACCTTAGAATTGGAA